ATGCATGCATGCGTACATGCACCATGCCTGCATTCATGCATACATACACACGTACATAAGGACATACATGCTTATCTACATACGTACATGCCTCCATACCCACATTTATACTTACTCACATACGATCATGCGTACTTGCTGACTTACTTATTTTCACTTACTTGTATACACGTACATACATACACATGTGCATACACACACACACGTACATGCTTGCTTAATTTCATACTTACTTATTTTCTTATTTACTTACCTACTTACTCATATACTTACTTGCTCACTACATTATTTGCTTACTTACTTGCTTGTTTACTTACTTACTTACTTACTTACTTACTTACTTACTTACTTACCTACTTATTTAACTTGCATACATACCTGCTTACATGCATACGTACATATACAAATGCACAAACACTCGCTGGCGTACCTTCTTACATGTATGCACATACCAATGTATTGCTTTGCACACCGACAGTACATGCACACACACACACACACAAATACCTACATATAAATTTATAATCACAAAAGCACCAAAAACACATACGTATACATACCTACATACACGTCCATATCGACCGGATGTCGCAAGGCCAACCCCCACAGGTTTCACCCCGCTGCCGGTGGAGAACTACAGGACCCTGGCCTTGTTAACGGATACACCGTGCAAGCTTTTGGCAAGTTCTTTTGTTTCGCAGAGGGTGGGGAGATTGAATTTGATATTGTCGGGTGTTTCGCGGCAGCTTCCGATGTGACTACCTATCTGGATCTACAATCTGTGCGAAACCGAAAACAGGGAGGTTGGCTGGTTAATTGCAACTATCTGGATCTACCGTCTGCCGCGAAACCGAAAGCAGGGAGATTGGCTGGTTAATTGCAATTCCTCTGCTCCTCCCAAGCTGCATCTTCTTGCCTTGCCGCATTTCTTGCTTTCTTCTTTGCCCTTCGAGTTCCGCTGCTGCCACAGATGCTCCCATCTGCCAACCGTGACCGGTATCTGCTGGATTCCCTTTTTTCCCTAGGCTTGGCCCAGGCGCAACCCCCCCCTTTAGAAAGCATGACTTACTGCACGAGCCGCGCCTGTGAGTCCCCCTCCCATCAAGGCGTCGAATCATCTCAGACAGTGTGCAGGCTCACTCAGCCGATCAACCGCTCCGTTATCCGATCTTCAGGTGTGGCTGCCCATGTTGATAAGATGATAGATCCGGGTGTCGACGGCGCAAAGTAGCGTACTTTGAAATGTTGCCGACAACAGGATCCACAGATCGAGCTGTAAGCTTGCAGTCCTATGGTGGCATAGTCTGTTTGGGACATTCTGCTCCTGTCCGTGACTGACTTTGCATGGTTTCTGGCTTGGAGGTGGAGGCTTCGATGGTTGTTATTTTGTGGGATTGGATGTCTGAAGGAGAACCGAGCCCTCAAAAAGGAAAGTCCACACACCCACTGTCCCCAAACCCTTTTGCTTTGCAGACAGTCTAACTGCTACCGCTCCAACAACGCTCCTCCTCCACTCCCCCTGAAGGTCTCATCTCTTCTATGCAGAGGCCTGGTTGGAGAAACTTGTGCACATTGATGCCAACATGGACAGCAAGCACTATTGAGGCATCATCATAATCCCTAAACCTGCCCCCGTCTGCCACCAGGGAAGTCTCGCCGACGGGCTCTCCCAGCAAGGCTTCGCTGGCTGGACTGACAGCCACTGTCTCTGCTGCCAACAGAAAAACAGAACGGTCGAGTACGTACCAAGTACTTGGTTGACCTGCTGATAGGGAGTTGTCGTTGGGTGTCGTGGGAAGAACAGTGTTTCATGCACTCTGTGCGAAAAGTAGGGAGGTGCACATGCAGCAGTTTCAAGGACTCGCCGTTCACAGCAACCTGTTTTGGCAGAAAATCATTTGAGTTCGTCTAGTTACTAGATTTGCCAGGCACACACCAGGCATTGAAGCCAGAATTCTGTACCTGATAGGGTGAGGGCGTGAGTTTTGAGATGCTCGGTGCAAGGCGCATGTGAAGAGCTGTGCAAGGGCCTTTGTCCAACAGGGTCTTTTACTTGTAGGTGCTTTTAACTTTGGGTGTACACAGGTCATCTGATCTATGTCGCGTGCAGAAACCTGCACTTTTTTTTGACGGTTGACGTATGCTTGCCACAGTTGGGGGGCCTACCCCTGAATCCAACACGCTTGATGTAACTAAACCACCGAGCCGAAGAGACTGGAGGTGGGAACAGTTTCTGGCTCCTACTCCTTGCAGCTGCCACCGAAGGCATCTTACCCACAGGTGGGATGTCAGAGTCGAGCTGTTCTTTTATGGTTTAGGAGTTCCGGTTTAGCAAGCTGGGTTTGTGGTTTGCCAGACTTACATAGGTGGTCTTCGGCAAGTCAGCAAAGCCTGGGGAGACACGTGAAAAGATGCAGCATGAGCTTTGGACTTGGGGTTGACGCCTTTTCTGGGAGTCAGGATTCAGGCTGTCTGGATCCTCAACCTCCCCGACTCCCCGAACTCTAGATTTAGCTCACGTGTGCGGCGCTGACAACAGAAGCTGTGGAGACTTTTGCGTGGGAGTAATTGAAATCAAGCAGGGAGCTCAAGCGATTCGGCACTGAAGGGAGCCCTACGAAAGGGCAGTTCATTGTGGAAAACGCACTTGTGCGTCACTTCTCCATAAAGGATCGCCCTGAGCCCTGGATGTGACCTTGGCAAAAGGTGCCGCAGCCGAGCCTGCTTCAGCCGACCTTAGCAGCTGCTGCCCAGTATGGCGCAGCTTGCACGCTTAGCTGTTTGAAGTGCTACGCTGCGCCCACTTTCTGTAGCAGAACTGAAATTTTCCCCTGTGAAAGATTGTATACAACATTACTAGCTGCTACCTTTCGGCTTCGGGGTTTTCGGTGACGTGTTTGCAGTCTTCGGCTTACGGTTCAGTCGACCAGTTTTCGTTGTTAAGGTTCTTGCTGTTTTGTAGAGTGGAATTTGTTGGGATATCATAAACTAGGCCCAGGCTCGGTCGTCGTTTTGAATCAGTACCAGAATTGGCATTATGTTCCCCTATGGTTTCGCTTTTCCCTTCATGCTCGGAGTGCATTGCCGGTGCTTCTGCTGAGTATTACTACCTACTGTGTATTGCTGTTGGTGCTGTCACGACTTCTAGACTCAAGGTTCATGGTTGCTGTACATGGCAAGGTTCGCCCATCCCGCTCACAGCATTGGCCTCCTCCCTTGCAGCTGCTGTGCTGAGCTCAATGCACCTGATCGTTTGGGTAGTCTGCCTGCGGGCGATTTCCCCGCATGTTTTTTCGCGGCGAGGGTACATTAGATCCGGCGATACCTGTTGTCGTGGACACTGGCATTCGCTTGAGACTGTGGGTTCTGAGTTCAAGCTTTGCATTGTGACGGACCTGTGTAGTGACCTCAATACTTCGTCAGGCACATAGCATGTGGAACCCTCGGGCCGCTGCTTTTTCGGACTGTTGGGACCCACCTTCGAGGACCAAGGAAGAGATGCTGAGGTATCATTAAGAACATGGCCTCCCTCTCGCCTGTGTCCTTTTCATGATGCAGTATAACCCCAGTGCATAATACTTCGCCTACTGTAGCTATGTCTTCAGATGTGCATGTTCCCGACCTTGCCTTAGCGTCGGGGTCTGCTAAAATTGACGATGTGTTGCTGCTGTATTGGGGTCCAAGTGACCGCGTAGCGCCCTCAATCCTAAGATGCTTTGTTGAAATTCGGGCAGGACGGAGAGATTGTGAAGATGTCTCAGAGGGTCCGGGTGTATGCACATCGTTGAAAGCTGTTCTGTACCCAACTGGTTAGTGTCTGCATAGAACAGGCCCACAGTCTGTCCCTGCTGCAACAGGGTGCTTATGCGCTCCCCCCCAACAACAACAAAAAAAGTGATCCTCATTATTGTTTCGAAGAAAGTCCTCACGTCTCTTTGTCAGCATGCTCGGCTCCACATGTATTTCGATTCAGGTTCGTGGGTTTAGGGCCATTTGCTGAGGACAGGCCATGTTTCTCGCAGCCAAGTGCCCCTGGAAAGAGTCAGCGGCTCAGCCGGGGGGGGAAATGCCATCCAGGACGCATGGCTTGCGATGAGCTTAGGTTTTTGCGGGTTTCCAGGCCCAAGACTGAAGTTGAAGGCTAGGCCCCCCCAGACTGTGGACTCGATTGTGTCAGAGACCCTTAGACCCAGAGTTTGGACCGAAACCCGGATCGAGTCTATGCTCGGAAATTGCTGGCCCTATGCTGTCGTCCAGCAACAAACAAACAGGATTCATGGTCTAGAGTTGTGCGCTTCCACACGAGCTCCGAGCCCCGAACGCTTGAAGTACCCATCTTCGAAGGAATCAACTCTAAGGGTCCCATTGACTTTGCATGCCTGGTGGCACATGCAGCCGCAGCCACTCTACTAGCGACTCAGACAGGTTCAGAAGCGACCATGTCGGCTTGGCCTTTTCCCGAAATAGCAATGTCCTGGACAGCAGCACTTGGGTGATGTAGCGCTTTCTTGTACTTAAGGGCCTCAATACTCAATTATTCGACACATTTCTGCGGCAGAACCTTTCAAAACTTTCAGACCCCTAGATTAGTAGGGAGCTTCGCAAAAACCACTGGCAAGCTGGGCCTCTGCCGTCTTAGGGACGACACGGTTTCGGGATTATGGACGGTACGTAGTTGGATCGTATGTTGGTGGCCCAACCAGCAGCTGGCAAGTGACACTGCATCTCCAGCACTCTAGCTGCAGGGAATGCTATGGACCGCTTCACCTCTACCCTCCAGAAGTGCCGGGACTTCGGGAATACAGGATTGAAAGAACTACCCGCCATAACCGCCTACGGAAGAGTGCTTTATCGCCGATACCTGCCTGCTCCGCCTCCCCCCCCGACACCTGAACGAGCATCAGGCACGAAAAGAAAAAGTCTGGCAGCTTCTCAGAGTGTGGAGAAGGCCAAAACGGGCCCGTCGGACAAAGTCGAGACCGCAGAACGATCGAAGAGCAAGAAAAGCAAGAAGGCTCGGAAGTTCCACAGAAAGCGCTTCGACCGTGCTGTTAGAGCGGCAGAGGCGAAGCGTGCCGGTTTGGTTGCCGACTGGCGGAGCCTCGGAAAAGGCCGAAAGAAGAAGGCCATCGAGCCATCTGACATCACAGCGGAAGAAAGTCAGAGGCTTTTCGCGCGCAACTTCCAAGACTGGCTTCAAGACCGCAGCCTCGAAGAGTGTCTTATCCGGGATGCAAGTAGGGATCCTGCTGCCGAGCTGGGTAAACCAAGCAGGCCTTTCATGTACTTCAAGTACAAGGCTCCGAGTGCGAAGAAGGGCCCGACCTGGGCTTGCAACGCGGGGATAAGGCCGGGCCATGGGTGGAAAAGGGCTTATCACGGCACATGGTTCTACGGCCTGGCCAGCGTGTTACAGCATGGCGTGCTGTTAGAGTCAACAAACGAGGATGCTGGCCATGAGTTCTGGAAGGCAGGTCTCTACCTGACACCGAATCTGGAGACTGCGACCTGGTATGGCAGAGCTCAACAAGTATTCGCGGATGACATGTTTCACCGAGCCATCCTCGAGGTGAAGTACGACCAGTCGAAACAGAGAGTGTACCGTCAGCGTGGTGGTGGGCAGATCGTGGTTCCCAGCGAGGCAGTTGCGATCACTGGTGTCATCATTCAGCCCAACTCTCCGCCGATGAAAGGAGAGGAGAGGAGTGAGAGCTGGCATAGGCAGCTAGAGGTGTGAATCGCTGACTTTTAGAATTCAGAAATGACGACGTTTGCTGGTATAAACTCGATCTTGGCACGAATCTTTAAAAGAGGATACCTGCCTGTCCCTACCTGAGGCGCGAAGGCTGCCGGTTTCTGACCTTTAGTAGGACTTGTTCGAGGTCTCTCAGCGCGTGAGACTATTTGTCAATGGTCAATATAAAAGTCCAAATAGTCACAAGTAGTATTCCTTAGGTTTCTGTCTATAAGCATACTGTAAGGTAGCCGAAAACCCTAGCCATATTGTAACGATTATGGCCCCTTCATTACACCTTCAGCTCGCACATCGGTGCACTCCAGTGCTTCGGCTTGGAGCTGTTAATCAGGGTGGACATGAGCACTCGCCACATAAACAGATTCTTCCCACACCTTCGCTGAGGGGCCGGAGGAGCAAGCCCCTACATCTCCCAACCCCCTAACCCTGACTGCCTGGGCTTGAAGCCCACCTAAAGCCGCTCAAGCTCTGGAGACTCTGAGGCGTGGCTGTGCCGCTTGGCACCCCTCGCCCCGAGATCCCCAGAGGAGCTCAGGCGTTTCTAGGGTTTAGGCTTGCAGGCTTGTAGGGTTTATAGGGTTCAGGAGTTAAGGCTTTTAAGGATTTCGGAGTTCACGGCTGCAGGGTTTGAGAGTCACGGTGCTGAGGCTTCAGCTTTGAAGTCTTCAGGAGCTCGGCTGTCCAGGTTGTTGGAGCTGCAACATCCATTTGAACGGTCCGTGGTTGAGGTATAACTGACACTTTGGGGCTTCATGGCTTGCGACGTTGGGTTTCTTGGGCTGTGGGAGTTCAGCTTGTTGTTTAGGCATGCAAGCTTTGCGGCTTGCTTCAGTTCTTTCGTGATCGGACATTGTCTCATAAACGTAGATATTGAAACGAGATCGCGGTCAAAGGCATTTCAGCAGGCAGCGGAGTGTAGTCACAATTGAAGGAAACTTCAATTAACGGTTTGGGGCTTTAGGCAGCGGTAGATTTTCCGACCGGGTATTTTCGAAAGTTGTCAATTATCGGTGTTGTATGCCAAGCCCGAAGGCGAGGAGCTTGTTCTCCCTTGTAGCAATGAGCTCCTCAACTCTGCAGGCTTTAAGACACCCCTAAACTCCTACGACCTTGCAAGCTAAGTTGACTGCGGATTCTTGGTCGGACGCTGAGTCTTGAGCAGGCGCAACCATGTTGGCCGTCGGCACCTGCCACCCTCCCTGCGCAGTACCGCCAGATCACGCGGCCCGACACAAACCGGGAGTGGTCAGGGTGCAATGTAACAGCCTGCACGAAGATGTAGTGGTATAGGCATAGGCTAAGGCGGCTAAGGGCAGGCAGCAGTCGACATATGGATCAAAAGTCTGGGGCTTTAGCTGCTGATCTTACATCGCAGAAAAAGCTCTAGGGTTCGAATTTAGGGCATTGGCAAGCCAATCCGATTAAGCCTCTCAGACGTGTGCAGTGAAGGGCTCAAGAAGGTTCACTAAGCAGGATGAGGCAGAGATAGTCTCAGCAGCAACCGCGACATGCAAAATCAGAGCAATGACAGCGGTGGCAGCAAGTGTGATCAGTGGCTAATAGTTAATCAGCAAAGCTCGTAGATTTGGCAATTCTTTTGTCACTCTGAAAACACTGACTGATAATACCCACGGACATACGTGGGTATGACAGTATAAAAATAGTCGGTTGCAGCAAGACCGATGGAGGCAGTGGCAGTACAGCAGACAACATTGTATACATACATAGATGCATGCATACATGTCGGTAAGCTCCCGGTCGCTGACTTGAGAACCGACGCCAAACCTTTGCCGAGGCACAAATCATAAGATGTCAAAAGATAAGCTCGTCAACAATGCAACCACTGTGGGAAGCCCCATCAGAGCCATCGGCCTAGACCTCGCTTGTCCGTCCCCTTGGCTAAGGATAGCCCCCGGGGCGCAGAATGGTGCGCAATTGCTTTCAGGTTAGCCCGCCGAGACCGCTTTTGCGTTTATTTGAACTGAAGGATTCAAAGACCAGGGCTTGAGATCACCTGTCAGTTCTATGCTGGACTAGCTATCAGAGGAGCAACACATCTGCATAGGATGATTTCGACACCGGTCGGCATCGTAGTTGTAGTCGTGTTCATGGTTAAACTGACCACAGAAATATGGCCGAGATTACATGCAATAAGTGTGGATGACAACGACAGCTCATCTAGCAGGTGTGAGTTTTGTCATTGTCGTGGCTTTAGCAGTGCAGTCGAACTCAACCACACCGCGATCATCACCATAGCCATGGAGATCAGCATTGCCACCATGGTTATCCTCATCATCGCCAGCATCATCTTCTGCCGTCTGTACCTTCCTTAGACTCCTCATCCTTTGCAATTTCAGAACCATGATGCTGAAATAGTGAGGCTGTTGCTGAGCCTCTAGATCATGGTTGGTGCCCATGCACAGCATCTAAGCTCTTCGTGCTACTGCGGTGCCAGGTCATTCCACTCCCACATCTTTAAGGATGCCCCACGCAATCCGGAAACACCTGAGCCCAGTCAAAAAGTTCGAGACCTCCATCAACCCCCACGGTGAGACCTTCAATTCCGCCTCAAAGCCACACTTGAAGCTCCAACCCGAGCCGAAGGTGCTCGTGCCTGGGTTCAGCCGGCCTCACCGACTCAAGCCTCGCGTGTGCCAATGTGGATGACCCACACAGTCACCTGGCATCACTTTTGGTGTGGGGCGGGTAGGAAAAGGATTATTAATGGTATTTGTGTCAGTTGCGCAATGCGCAGTTGTGTCTTGGGGCTGCTTTACTGTCGGCGTTCACGACACGAGGATTGCGCGACTTCCTTCCAGTGTGTTTTCGTTTCCATGGACTTCGATTACAATATCCGTTGACTCATCGCTCGTTTCCCGCAATCAGCAGTTGTTTGTGGCTCAGGCCAGTTTCCCGAATTTCGCAGCTGCACCGCTTGCTCGCTTTTTCCTGTCCCAAGTTTCGCGACGCGTTCCTGCTGTGAGAACGATATTCGAATTTGCCGGCAGGTTCGTTTTCAGAGCTTGAGAGGGGCGGAGGGCCCGTAACAACAAACTTCATCAACAAAGCTGGTGCTCAAAATGCGGAGCCCGGTGATCGTGCTGACGAACGTTATGTCCATCATCATGACCATGATCGCGATGCCAACCCTAATGACGACGATGATGATGTCATGGTGATGACAATGATGGAGATGATGATGAGGATGAGGATGAGGATGTGGATGACGACGATGTGGATGATGTGGATGATGAGGATGGTGAGGGTGATGCTGATCATGATGATGAGGAAGATGATGATGAGGAGGATGAGGAGGATGATGAGGAGGATGGATGAGGAGGAGGATGAGGAGGATGAGGATGAGGATGATGATGATGATGATGATGATGAGGATGATGATGATGATGATGATGACGATGACGATGACGATGAGGATGAGGATGAGGATGAGGATGAGAAGGATGATGAGGAGGATGAGGATGATGAGGATGATGATGAGGATGGGGATGGGGATGAGGATGAGGATGAGGATGAGGATGAATATGAGGATGACGATGACGATGATGATGATGATGACGATGACAATGACGATGATGATGAGGATGATGAGGATGATGATGATGATGATGATGATGTGTTTCCCCAGCCGGATGCCTGATGTCCGTACAAGTAAAATGTTCACCTTTCCTTGGCTTCGCTTCAAAATGCACAAATTCGGGTAGTCCGAGTCCCAGTCCTATCATGTATTCGGCCTAAACAAACATCCCGATAGTCAGACCACGATACTAGCAGTCAATACTAACATGACCTAGATGAACGCAAGCGGAGGCCAACTTTGACTGGTGGTGGAGGTGTTCTTCCTTGTAGCACTTCATGCTTCAACATTCGTTTTTCGATTCTTGGATTGATCTTGCATCCTTATGTTACCCTTGAGTAGTAGTGTCAACGCCACCATCAACCACAGACATCAGCAGCATCAAGCATCACCATCATCATCATCATCGTCATCATCATCACCACCATCATCATCATCTTCGTCGTCGTCGTCACGGATCGGCAGGTTCATCATCGTCGACTTCATACTTGTTCATCCTCGCAACTTCGAACAGGTGGTCAAGTCGACCCGTGTTTGTAGAGGCCCGAGTTTTGTGACATGATGGAGCTGGACGACTAAGGCGCCGCCTGCACAAGGAGGGACGGCACAGGAGAAGGCTTTGCCTCGTGCGGTGGCTCCTGCGGGGCTTGCTGAGACCGCGGCGACTGCTGCACCAGCAGCACAACATGAAGTTCAAACCACAACTCCGGGCCCAACGGCTCGGCTTCCTTTGTCAGTGAACGCGCGCTCGCCGGTAAGTGTCCCCAATCAGGCTGCAGGGCCAGGGCCTGCACCAGCAACCTCGGCGCCAGTAGCCCCTGCACCAGCAGTCCCCCCGCCAGCAGCGCCTGCACCTGCAGCCACTTATGTGACAGCCACTGGCGGCTGCCAATGGCGCACACTGACTCAGCCGTACCAGTACCAGGCCGGGGTTAAGTTCAAGCGCTTAAGAACAGGTCCGCCAGTGAGCCGAGGGCAGCATGTCACTTGCTATGTTGATCGTGGCATTTGACACTACTACCGTAGCATTCACCACCCCGTCGGACTCAGGGAGTGCAACCATGTGGTAGGCCGAATCGGGCACCTCGTAGATTCAGACCTACACACCTCATCCTTTTATGTCATGCTGAGTATTATCGACATCAAGCCTTTGCACTGGTGAGAGACCTTGCAAAAAGTGTCGACGATTTGCATTGATGCAAAGGTCCGGGGTCGAGCTGTGTGAACATTGGCAGGTTGTGGTGACAGGGAGGATCTGGTCCCACACTTCAAACTCTAGGACTCTAGGATCCTAGAATCTAAAACCATCTCAAAACACTTAGCTTTCAGGCTTATCCGCTCCAGCGCACTGTGCCGGCGCCGTCAGCAGCTGCGGCTGCAGCTGCGCTGCCTCTCCAGTTACCTGTCTCGTTGGGTTCTAGGTGTGGGCTTCGAGGATTTGGGTTTCAGGGTGGTCAGGGCCAGTGTTTTCGAGGTTGACGGCTTTCACTGAGCCCAGCATGCTTGGTTTCTGTTGCACCATCGCCTGCAAGGGCTGGCCACCTTTGATATACAATGGAGAAGACTCGAGTATGGAAGTTCAAAACACATAGCAAATACACTGAACAATACCGGCCCAAATGAGAAACCATAAACGCGGCAATGTCTTTCGGCTCAATCCACCAAGCTTAGTCAGCTTCTCACACATCGCTTCAGGCGGGCATCGCTGCCTGTGCCACATCCCCATTCACAGGCATACAGGCCGAGAGGGGAGTCAACATTCGGCAAATGTGTTTTGCCGTCCAGCGTCTTGAATGTTCTGAGGGGCTCAAGACTTATGGCTGACAGTCTAGGCTTGGTTTCAGGACTTGGGTTTGAGGCGTAGGATAAAGGCCTGGTACCTTGGGTCTCCTCACATTGCGTTATTGACTGCATTGCTTGTCCTAGACCCTCTTCACAGTCGGGACCTTCGTCAGAGTTTTTCAGACCTGCTGTTTTTCCATGACCGTGTCTGCGATGGCAAGAACCATCATGACGCCAACGATCCAGCATCACCTTCAATATCGACTTCAGTCTCCGAAGCAGATTGCAAACAACACTTGCGCAGTTTGGAAAGAATGCAACTTCACAGGTTTTAGGGCGCTATTTGCGAATCCCAGGTGCGTGAAAGGGACTAGAGTATCAGAGAAACGGGAGCAAACCGCTGTAAAGGGATTGGAGTGTTTGAAACAGGACCAACAGGAGCAAACCCTTCGAAAAGGGTTAGAATTCGTGAGAAGCAGAAGCAGGACAAGTTATACCATCCTACTTGATGCGCTGTAAAGCATCGTATGAGGTTCCTCAAAGATTGGCATATCAAGAATGTTTGACGGCGCAACAGGAGAGCCACGCCCCGACGATGATAATTGCCCACATGCCTTTTTTGTGAAAGCATGTCTTTGTTTCTTGGCGCACGGAGAGAGACCCCAGTGTGCTCGCGGCGTCAGCTAACGCACCAGCCAGTCGTGTCGCATGAAGACATGTTTCTTTGCGCACGGACTAGAACAACGTGAGAATGCCGCAGCAATAGTAGTTTTAGCATGAACACGTTTCGAGGGAGATCCAAATGTGGTTGTGGCGTGGGAATGTGGCAGTCTTTTCGTGTGATAATCTGCCACCTTGTGCGCGGAGTGAGATACAAGTGTGTGCCCCTTGTGCGAGAACGCAGCAATCTTTTCTCGCATGAGCATATGTTTTGGCGCATGGAAAAAGATCCAAGTGTGCTCGCAGGCTGGGTGAATGCACCAGCCAATCTTGTCGCACGAAGACACATTCTCTTCGTGTACGGAGAGCAATCCAAGTGTGCTTGCAGATCCAAGTTGAGAACGCAACAGTTTGTTCGCATAAACACTTTCTTTAGGCACCGTGAGAGAAAGAGCACACCGAGAGTCAGAACACAGTAGTTTCGTTGATGCAGCTGCATGTATATTTGTTGCACGCAGACATATTCACATGTCTTTGCGAACGCAGGAAAATTGTGCATACACTGCTGATGCAAAGGGCGCAATGTTTGGGAATGACCATGCCTGCACGCGGGAGAAAGATCTAAACGCGCGTGCGCTGCCAAAGCTGCATGCTGTAACTGTAGCGACCTGTCCCTGTTCCATAGCTGCTGGGTCTGTTTCTGAGTGAGATAAGCGCAGATGACTTACGTGCTACAGAACTGTCATGTTGCGGTTCATGTACATGGTTCCTGCGCCCTCCCCAGTACAAGTGTTAATCAAAAATCGGCGTGCGGTAGTTCTGAACTCAGTAGTTCTTTATAATATAAGCTGCCTCATACTCCCGTTGAGACCGCTATTTACGGGGTTTCCATTTTTATGTTTTGCCAGGCTCACCACACCGGCCACGCAACAGCAGTCTCGGCCCGTCCTGCCACAAGCCGGGACCCCACCGAGCAGCAGTGTCGGTGTGGGGCTTGCAGGGGCAAGCTTGTACTTAGGGACTAAAAGCACACAAGTAACAGTATTGAAATCAACCCTTCAGTAGGAGCCTTCTTGTAAGATCAGTAGAGCTGCCATAAACGCGAGTGTAAGACCATGCAGGGATGTTGTGATGTAGTTTAGTGAAAGATTTGGCTTTGGATGTGGGCTTTTGCAGATTTTGTGCCAGGCCCCTTTCCAGCTCAGCTCCGCCGCCCCTCACGCGATGGCGATGCAGCCTACTCGACCAGGCAGGGGCATAAACGGTTTAAGCAGCCCAGACCTGAAATCATCGGTGGACAGCGCTGTGAATTCCGAACTTCGGCAGCTGGTAGACCACTATGAACCGGTTGTACTTCCCATGCAGTGCTGCAGCGTTACCTCACCCAGTGCCCTTTCCAATCGTGCTTTGTATTTTTGCAGGCTAATTCTTCAGAAGGGTACTCGTCCAGGCCTTGGGGCTGCGGAAGTGGCGCAAAGAGCTGCGGCCTGGTATCCCCTCCCCTGATTTGGGCAGAGATCCTCAGCCCGGCAGGGCTCGTGTCTTTGTTGTTGATGTCTCTGGTGTTCATCCTGTGTAAATGGTTGCTTTCTGCACAGCTCGGGAAGAGCAGGCGCAGGGGAAAATTGGCTAAGCCATAAGTGCATTGCCGTTCTCTCCTGTGTCGAAAGTAGGAGAGAGATGCTGGGGTGACCCCCGAAATTAGTCGTTTAAGCAGGTAGAAGGACGCAAGCCGATGCACCAAGCAACGATTTGGCCACAAGCTGCCTTCAAGCCAGAGTCATCCACACCTTGAGATTCAAGCACCGTTGTTGTTTGCTAGCTTCCGGTGGAGTCCTGACTTCCATATTATTTTGTGATCAAGGCTCGTGTCAGCGATCCGAGCTGGGCAGCGTACACCCTACTGGCTAAGGATGCACCGGCGGAACTTCGATGATTGCACATGCATCATCTCGGGTCCGTTCATTGCTGAAGACAACGAGGGAACGGTGCCTGTGAGCGGCAAAGTACGCTGCCCAGCCATCGATTCTGGCGTTCGTGGCATGGAGCATCTGTGCCGCTGGGAGAAATCTGTCACCCAGGATTCTGGCAGGTAGGAGTCACCTGCTGCTGCATCAGTTCTAGTGTTCGCGACCCGAGACCCTTAATACTGTCCTGGAGCACGAACAGTCTCAAGCCATGTAGAAAGGCCGAGATCTGCGCAACTCAATATGTAAACAGCGCCACCAAGTTGGGTTCGTGGTCGTGGTGTATATGCCTGTCACTTGAGAAAGTCCTGAATTAATGTGATGGGCTTCCTCCAGCTCTTCGGCTGATAAATGCATGGAAGCCAGCTTGTTGATTTTACCACGGTGTCCGAACAGCCCAACACTTGGAACATACCTAGGACCGAGTCGTAGTCGTGGTATTGTTTGGTCTGACGGTTTAGTCGATGCGGTATGTATGGAGGTGACAGCGATGCCCCAGTCGTTCTCGATGGTTTGATGAGCATGGTAGCCCCTAGCTCTATCTGTGCACTAAGGTTGTGTGGGGTGGCTTAGAAGGTGCAGAGCACACAAGTTGCACCAAGCCCAGCCCGCAGATGGTGGGTCTAAGTTCTGTAAAACCTATAGGGATAAGACTCTGCGCCATTAGCACGTTATTTCGGCTTAAGGTTCATCCTAAACTGAGAACCGGCCTTGGCGAACCAGCGATTCCAGACCAACCTCGGATCCGAGATCAAACGCCACAAAGGCATGCCAGCTGACTGGCCTGTGCAGCATCATAGACCGGCAGGTTTGAAGCACTCGCATCAGCATCATGACTTCCGTTCATTCAGAAACGTCACCTACCCAAGGACATACCAGAGGTAGCACTCTCACACATATATTGACAGGAAAGGTTTTAGGGGGATTGCGTTTCGGAGGATCCTGCGGATCGGCGTGGGCCTCAGACAGGCCTGGTTACTTAGTGTGTTTGACGTTTGTGCGCTCCCCTGTCCGCTATTTTGCTGCTCCTAAGCACATCTGAAACTACGAGGGCCTAAAATTTCAACTGTCGTTCTTTGATGCAGCAGGGCAGGCCTAATTGCCCCATTGCTGACACTAGCTGTCCAGCCACTCTATAGTCTTATCGGTGCCTAGTATGACGGGCTTCAGGACATTTGCTTCAGTTCCCTCAATCTTAGCCAGGACATGCTTCCTTCTGTCACTTGACCACTTGTCAATGAGCCCTTCTCAAAAATCAGTCGTGTTGCGTCGAAGCCCACCAGTCGTGAAGGGTGAGGAGCAGCAGTGACAGCAGGCCAAAGCATCATAGTGTCTGGGACCTTGTTTGCCGGCCTTTGCGTTTTGGTTTTCGTAGGAATTTGTGCAAATGCGACACACATAGTCCGGTCTGCTGACCCAGGCACGCAAGCCTTAGCACCCTAAGCCCCCTGAGCCGCCCCCAAAGCCTAAGCCCGTATCAAAGCCCACACTAGACCCCAACTGCACCGGGCCTAAAGCCACATCCCCAGTCGATGAGCTCCTCGACATGCATCTCCATGGCCCTGGATACCGAGGCCACGTGGCAGAATATCTGGGATAGGATGCAGGAACATGGCTTTCTAGAAGTAAAAGCAATGAAATCGTTTGGCATTTTAGGAATTTGTAGTGCTGGGAGCCTCGGGAGCTGTAGGGTTTGGATGTGGGCTCGGTGCTGATCAGTGTTAGATTCGGCTAAGGGGCTCAATTTTGCGGTGTGTAGACTTAGGACTTCGTGTTTGGGAGTTGTGCTTAGGACCGTAGGAGACGGAGTTCGGGTTCAGGCCGGGTATAGCTTAAGTCGACTTGTCACGTGGCTGTTTTGGAGTTTGGAAAAGAGTTATTTGTAGCCAAAGCATAATTGATAATTAGCATGCAAATGCAGGGGCCTCAACAACCAATGCAGCGGTGACTCCCATGTACAACCCCTGTAGCATGACACAGCCACAAGTGATCATATTTCTTGGCTTCTTGGTCTGGGAGTTCGAGTAGAAATCTACTTTCCGTCTGTGTTGTTTAGGAGTTGAGCTTGCCGCTGCTCAAAGCAACTATTGTCATGCTATGGATGGGGGTCTAGTGCTTTCTGTTTTGATTGCGGCTGTGCGGCTGCAGGAGGTGCAAATGAAAACAGCACGACCGATAAAGCTGGAAATTGCTTGTGGGAGAGGGCTTTCTGAAGTAAGTGTTCTTTGCTTGTCAGGTCGGGAACTCTGCAAAAGTCCCAAGATGCTTTGCTTCCCGGATGTTGCTCCGTTAGGTGTCCCAGCGAGCGCACAAACTCTGCCACGAGCTGGACACGGAAGGCTCGCCACTTTGAGTCTTTGATCCTGAGAAGTGCGCGTGCAGTTTTGAAGGCGAAGCTCACGTCACTGAAGTTATAAATATGCATAGCGAGTGAGGGTGCAGGTGCCAAAAGCTGAATAGGCCATGTCGAAATCCGAATAGCCTAAAACCCGAAACCATACCGGTTGCAAACCTCACGCAGGAAACCCTATGCACCCCATTTCAGCCGAACAAGCCTGAATCTATTTAGAGCTTTCTCTGACACCGAGCCAGGCACCGGAGTGTTGGACCCTGCAAAACTGCAGGCAGTTCTGAAGAAGGTCCGGATGGAAAGGATTGTTCATCAACGTTGCTGTCTCTCTCTCTCTCACTCCCTCTTGCTGTCTCTCTTTCTGTTCCTCTCTCTCTATGTGCGGGTGTGTGTGTGTGTGTGTGCGTGTGTGAGTGTGTCAGTGCGTGTGGGTCGGCGTGCGCGAGCGCGTGCAGGTGCAGGTGCGGGTGCGTGCGGGTGTGTATGTGTATGACGAGTCCCTACAAGCCACACGCAGGTGTATCTCCATGTCCATGTATAATCTGTATATATATATATATATATCTATGTGTATATATATATATATATACATATGTGATATTATGTGTTCATGTATGTGTCTATATATATATATATATATGTATGTATATATATATATATATATATATGTATACATACATACTACGCACGCAAGCAAGCAAGCAAGCAAGCAAGCAAGCAAGCAAGCAAGCAAGCAAGCAAGCAAGCAAGCAAGCAAACAGGCAAGCAAGCAAGCAAGCAAACAACCATACATACAGACAGACACAGTGACACACATACCTCA